ATGTATGTTCTGAGTTGTAGCCTTGATTTTGTTCAGTCTTGAAGCTCTGCTTCTGATCATATCAGTAATCCCTTTTGTAACTGTGACCACATCCCTGTAATTGTTCCTATGTAGCCTTTCATTCCTTTCCAGCCATAGATAATACCCTGAGGCAACTTGCAGAGCAAGAGAGAGTTTCATCAGTGTAGCTTTCAAGTTATCGCCCTTCATCACTTGCTCTGCCCACATGATTGTATTCTGCCAGGAATCACATCTCCACTGCTCCCCACATTGTAAGACAATGGTGGTCCAAACCCTCTCTGTGAATGAGCAATTGAAAAACAAGTGGTCATGGGATTCACAGTTTCCTCTACAAAATACACAGCTAACTCTAGTAATAATACCCCATTGAAACAAATTGTCCTGAGTACCAAGTTTCTCTCTAATAGCAAGCCAGAGGAAAAGAGAAGCTCTTGGAACCATATGAGTAAACCAGACAATTGAGTGCCAACTAACTTGGGAGTTCCTTTGCCTAATGGCCTCCCAGGTAGAATGAGTAGAGAATAAACCATTGGGAGANTTTCTCTCTAATAGCAAGCCAGAGGAAAAGAGAAGCTCTTGGAACCATATGAGTAAACCAGACAATTGAGTGCCAGCTAACTTGGGGGTTCCTTTGCCTAATGGCCTCCTAGGTAGAATGAGTAGAGAATAAACCATTGGGAGAAGGGATCCATAGGACAGAGTCAGGCCTCCCAAGTACAGGACAAAAGCCTAAAGGCAAAATCTGCTGCAACTCCATTACCAAATGTGATCTGGACTGTGGCCAATTCCACTGTTGGTTTTGGATGATACTGTTAACTCTAGCATTCCTTGGCAGCCTTGCTCCCAATATGACTCTCTCATCAAAAATGGATAGAATAGGCCCAGTGGGGAGCCAATTATCAAACCAAAGGAAGACATTTTCCCCATTCCAAACTCTGAACTTGATGAAGGGTCTGATAAGTTCTCTAAGCTTAAGACCATGTCCATGAACTGTCCTGGGGAATCTGGAGATCCCAAAGGCTTCTGTTCCTCATAAGAGAAGCTCTAACCCAGGTGACCCAGATTGAGCTAGTAACAGGCTGCATTAAGTTCCATATGTGCTTAGCCATAATGGCTTTATTCCAGTCCTCAACTCTTTTGAGTCCTAACCCTCCTTCCTCTCTGGGGTATGTGACATCTTCCCAAGCCACTTTGGCCCCAGTATGCTTCAAATCAGCACCCCTCCATAGGAAGGATCTCATAATCTGCTCAATTGATCTAATAGTGGCTTTAGGGAGTAAAAACCAGCTAGACCAATAAACTTGAATGCCAAAGAGAACAGATTTGATCAATTGCAATCTTCCAGCATATGAGAGACATTTTCAAGTCCAACTTTTCACTTTAGCAAGCATTCTGTCTACAAGACTTCTACAATCTGCCCCTCTTAGCTTAGTAGATATAAGTGGAACTCCAAGGTACCTCACAGGGAGTTGGCCTGGTGGAAACCCAAACAGTTGCTGGATATTAGTTCTAGTGGAATTATGCACTCCTGCAGTGAAGATCTGACTCTTTGCATGGTTTGCTTGGAGATCAGACAACTCAGAAAATTTTTCAAGTGCAGCCTTGAGTATGCTAGCAGAAGCCATATTTCCATAGCAAAACAGTAGAAGATCATCAGCAAAGCTTAGATGAGTGGTAAGTGTCTTCTTGCATCTCCAATGAAAGCTGAACTGGTCACTCTTAGTGAACTTATCAGTGATCATAGTAAAGACCTCCATAGCAATTACAAACAAGTAAGGTGAAATGGGGTCCCCTTGTCTTAACCCCTTAGCCCCAGGAAAATCTCCCTCTAGTTCACCATTGATGCTGACTGAGAAAAGTGGAGAGGTGATGCAGGACTTAATCCATTGAATGAATTTAGGAGGGAATTTGATTAACTCTAAAGCATCAAGCAGAAAATCCCACCTAACTGAGTCATAAGCTTTCTTCAAATCCACTTTGATAGCACATCTGGGAGAGATGTTATCCCTATGGTAACCCCTCATGAGTTCTTGAGCAAGCAGTATGTTGTCACCTATCCTCCTACCTTTTATGAAAGCAGCTTGAGCATAGCTAATGAGATGAGGCAAAATACTCTTCACTCTGTTGGCCAGAATTTTTGTAATGCACTTTTACAGTGTATTACAACAGGAGATTGGTCTATAATCACTCAACTTAGAAGGATTGGGAATCTTTGGTACCAACACAATAATTGTGGAATTCATTTCTCTGATGAGGCACCCAGAGATGAAAAAGGATTGGATAGCCCTCACCACATCCTCCCCCACAATGTGCCAAGTTCTTTTAAAGAAAAAGGCATTAAATCCATCAGGCCCTGGGGCCTTGTTAGAGTGCAGGCTAAACAATGTGGATCTAATCTCCTCCATAGACACTTCCTGGATCAACTGGGCAGCTTGGTCTTCACTGATAACCTTAGTTATAAATGGCCTCATAACTGTCTTCCCTGGATAAGAGAGAGAGCATGGGGATCCAAGGAGGTCCTTGTAGTATCCAACAACCTCAGCTTTGACTTGGTTGTAGTCCTGAAGCATTGTTCCATCCTCTAGCTGAACATAGACTCTTTTTTTTATGTTATGTTTATGGACCTAAAGAAGAAACTTTTGTTTTGGTCTCCTTCTGATAGCCCCAGCTAATAAAGTTGCGAGATTTCTGCAACTAAAAGGATTCTTCATTGTG